ACTCATACAGACGATAGGTGACCATTATTCTTGAATGGATGGATTATGTCAAACCACAGTTAAGAATCTAACATACGACTGATCACTCTAGATCTATATGTGTGAGTTCGTGTGCATATGTACATGGATGATATTTAATCCATCCATGGCTATTATTTTTGGATGAATGGATGAGGTCAAGCTATAAACGCAATATCATGAGTCTCCTTGTGTGCTGCTAAATATCAGGACATTAAAGAAATTAAAAAGCTTAATTTTCTGACTAGCAAATTATAACAAAAAATTAAACAACTATTTTATAAAATTGAATTGAGGCGACATCTAACTCACCATGACCTATCCTTGCAAAAAACATGCATAGGATCACCATGAGGAGGTTAGCAAGAAACATTAGCAAGCTTTATATATTCCTATATATTGTTACTATAGAAGGAAGATACGTTAGAAACTTTGAACAATTAGTTCTGAAAAATATTATAGCTGAAAGATGTAAAGATTATCAGATTTGACATAGAGGAAGTCTGTTTAGAAAGGATAAAATTCACATATTTTTGACAAAAAAGGAACTAATTATATGGACAAATAATGGCTTAAAATTAAACACACTGTTCTATATAATTTGAGTATCAAATTTAATTTTCCAACACTTTTTACTGAAATGTTTTGAACTCTGATGATTAATTGTTAGGGTAGATAGGCGCAAAATCCCTCTCTTTTGTCACAAAAAGTTCAAGAAACTTTTTCCGATTATACTGTCTCATGTATATCAATCTATGTAAAATTAATTCAGGTAATTAAGAGGATGAAATAGCTGGAATGAATTAATTAGCTAGCTAGGCATAATAGAAAATCAAAAGAGCTTTCATTACAATCATCATTCAAAGAGAGTTTCTTTATAACAATTCAGGCAGCCTATTTCATGTTTGAGAAAGATGGTTGGCCTTTTCTCAACAAGATGAAATATTGGAAGGGGGGAAAAAAGAAATGCAAAGGAAAATACAAGTGCATACACATACAAATTCAAACACAAAACACATGATAATTGATCTACTTCACCTTAGGTGGATCTCCAAGCCTAAGCTCAAGATCTATCTCTTCAACAGGGCTAGGGCTAAGTTTAAGTACCTCAGTTGATCGGCTGACGAATTGAAAATCTCCCGAAGATGGCTTGACGATGGAAGGAAAGCCAAGTTGTTGATCACTCCTCTGCCTCTTGTTACTATACGCATCAATCTCATCATCCTCGTCCCGATCTCTCTTCCCCTTGCTCCCAACCTCCCTCACCTTAAAACTCCCTAACTCAAGCCTCAACTCCAAGGCGCTTGGCAGACGAAGGGGCATCGGATTTACAAAAGAGGGAAGTGACGACCCAATAGCACCAGAATTAGGGTTAGGGTTTGGGCTGGGACTAGGGTTAGGGTTAGGGGTATAGTACTCCATGGAGCCAACTTGATCTTCATCAATTGGACTTGAGGATTGTTTCAGCCTAGCCCGATCCCTTCGGTGAACGTTCATGTGGCCGCCCAGGGCTTGGGCTGACCGGAACTCTCTCCGGCAGAAGCTACATGAATAGGATCTCGGAGGCCATATGCAGCCTCCTAAGAGACCAGCAGAGTCCTCAGCAAAGGCCTGCTCCTCCCATGATTCATGGTAGGAGGAGCTTGAAGAGATTAATGGAGAATTGAAGAGAGGAGGAGGAGGCCTTGTAGTGTTGTTGTTGTTTAATTTCTTTCTCGCCCACATCCAATACCTCGTTTGCTCCATTGCACTGTTCATGGATGATAGGGCTAGAGATCTCTTAAAGGGGGAATTTAATCAATTAGAGGAGAAGGGGAGAATAAGAAATTTGTGAAGTTGTGATAATATTGAAGGAGCTAGCTAGAGGGAGATAAAGATGGATGCAAGCATCTCTATCCAAGTTGAATACTAGAATAGAGAATCTATGAGGGGGAAGGAGAGAGAGAGAGAGAGAGAGAGAGGAAAAGTCCTGAGATAATATTAGGTCATGGGTTTTCCTTTTCTTTTCTTCTTTTTTTTTTTCCTTCTTCTTTTTTCCCCCTCTCAATCTAGTGATTTCGTTAATAAGCGAATATGCAAGTATAAAAGAGTGTTATATAAGGACAAGACAAGCTTTTGTCTTCCTTTAAAGACCACCCTGTTAAAGGTTGGTGAGTAATACTTAATTAACAGCGGATTTTTTTGAGCTAAAAGGGAGAAGATCGACGATCACTGAAACTTTGAAGGACATGCAGTAGGCTACATTCTATGTGTGGATGGGCCTACTTCAACCACCACTTTTCCAAGAGATCATCGCCTTACACAGTAATGCGACTGTTTGAGATGTGATGGGGTCACGCATAAGTCAGCACAGAGTTCTATATGTCTATATATATATAATTAATTTAGGGTTATTTCTAAGGTTTTTAAAGGAAAATAACGTCCAGGATTATTCAGAATGACATTTTATGGTACTTCTTCTTGTTGTTTGATTTGTATTCATGTTCTTTTTTTTTATTTCTAATTAATAGTGTTTCATTAGTTAATGAGTCGGTATCAAAATGAATAGTTAATTTCTTAATCCAAGTGTTGTCTAGCTGAAAAGTTAAAAGCATGTATAGTGATTAAACTGAGAGACTAAAATATGTATATATACTCTCATTTAGAACTAGTTGATCAAGAAGTGTGCCATTCTCATCTTTCTGGAAATTTACTGAAAATATTACATAAATAATAACTAATGTGAGCATTTCTTCGACTATAATATATTATCATACTGGGACATTATAAAAATTCTCAAAAGTATAATTTCAAGGGTTTTCTCCATATATGTACCCCTCATAGTATAACTACGTACTTTTAATTTTGCCTCTCAACCAATCAAAGTCTAATTTACCATCCAATTTCTTTCTCCACGCAAAATTCCTCTCCATGTAATAAATGTTACTTTTAATAGGTGAAAAGTCTTTTTTATCCATGTTAACATGAAAATTTAGGAAAAACTCGAGAGAAAAGGAAATTAGAATAGAACTATATATATCTTCTTTTTCATACTAAGTCCAATTAGTAATCAAACATAAACAATAATTTCACTTGGAATCTTAATTAGTTCTTTCTTCCAATCCTTTGCTTTCTGCGCGCAAATATTATCTTGAGAAAGTTTGATGTGTTTGAATTTGATAATTTTCATGCATCGTCTTTCTTCTCTTCTCCCTATTGTATTATTCGTTCCATGCTCTATCCTACAAAATTATAAATAACCTTATAAAATCAGCTTAAAGGGCGCACATCTTTCATAGCCAAACCAAACTGCAAGTTTTGGTAGTTTTAAATGATCACCTCCACGTATATATCTCATGTACTTGTATGCACCCAATCTTTTAATTTATAAGTTCAGAAAATGGATTATGACTTGCGTATTAATCTTTGTCATATTCTCTATCGATCAAAGGACACATGAGTCTTATAATTGCTGAATACTTGCTACAGGAACACTAAATTTCAAATCTCAGTCTTATACCATGAGTTGTTACCAGTCTCTCAGCAAGTGCCATGGCATAATACTGTTTGGGATCAATTGTGCTATCCTAAACATTCATTTATTAGTTGGCTTGCTGTTTTGAACAAATTGCTTACTAAAGACAGACTAATGAAGAGGGGGTTAACAAATATCGGTTCTTGCTGCTTATGCTCAGGAGCTGTGTTGGAAGACAGGAACCATCTTTTCTTTTCCTGTGCTTATTCTTCTGAGGTCTGGAATGGCATAATGTGTTGGCTTCATTTTTCCTGGAAATCGTGCGAATGGGATCATATCTTGGAATGGTTTTGTACAAAGTTAAGAGGAAAAGGATTCAAACAGGGAATCAAAAGAATGGCATTGACGGCTGCTATCTACAACATCTGGTATGAGAGAAATCTCAGAATCTTCCAACAGGAACAAAGAACTGCTGATCAAGTGATTAAGAGAATTAAGATGGACATGCTATCTGTTGTTCTCAATTCACAATTCCAGGAGGAGTATCGGGACTGGTTGCAAGATTTGTGAAACCTGTCAGTTCTTGAAGAGTACTTGAAGTTACTGTAACCAATGTATTCAGTTTGATCTCTCATTTACTATGAGATCTTGATGTATATACATTTCTTTCATTGGTAATGAATAAAAATTTTCATTGACCAAAAAAAAAAAAAAAAAAAAAGGACACATGAGTCCTATATCTTTGTAGGAACTAGAGGAGTTAGACAAGGAGACCCAACTTTCCCCTCATCTCTTTGTGCTTGCTATGGAGTATTTGAGTAGAGGACTCGCAAGTTTAAATGAGAGGGGAATAATTTTCATTTCCATCCAAAATGCAAAAGTATGAAACTTTCACGCCTATGCTTTACTGATGATATAATGATTTTTTGCGAAGGAGACATTAACTCTATTAAACATATTATTGATAGATTCAAACCAATATTGAAAATAACAGAAATGGGTTATGTAACGCTTGACCTCCGGTTAAGGGTTGAGGAAAAAAAAGCAAAAAAACGTAACACATAACGTAGGTTATATTTGTTAGGATTGTGTCTATGATTATTGTATAACTTCATGAGAATTACATAGGATTAGAGATCTATCATAATTAGGAGATTGTATCTCATCATAATTAGGAGTTTAATTGAATCCTATTCTAATTAGGAAGTTAGGCTAGAGATAGAGTTTTGGTTTTCCTATATATATTCTTTTACTGTTGGAGAAAAAACCAAGGAGATGAGAGATAGCCAATATTCTTGTAATCTAGGGTTAGCAGAGGGCGTAGTCTGATTCAAAAATATTATGCGAGAGACGAGTGTTTCGTAGCCTTTGTCTGTGTAAAAGATTACAGTATTAGGAGAGGGTTTCGTAGTCTTTGTTAGTGCAAAAGACTATAATATTAGGAGAGGGTTTCATAGTCTTTGTCCATACAAAAGATTACAATATTGAGAGAGTATTTCACAATTTTTGTCCGTTCAAAAGATTGTAAGGAGTGAGCTTTGGAGAGAATATGAGAGTTGATTATGTATGTAAGGTTAAGAGATTGAGAGACGAGAGTTGAGTTGTTTCTCTTATAATTCTCCCTAATACATAGTGGATTTCTCGTATTGTTGCCCCGTGGATACAGGTCGAAGTTGGTTGACCGAACACGTAAATCTTGGTGTTCTTTCTTCTTGACTCTGGTTGTTTTATATCTTATTGATTGTGGGTTTGCTTTCGAGTTGCACACATCGTAGCAGGTGGGGAGACTAAGTTCCCAACAAGTGGTATCAGAGTGATGATGATGGAACTGGGAACGAGTTCGCAACATAGACGTCGTACAAAAGTGAAGATCAGCAGCGTTACAAGAATCAAGATTAAAAAAGAAGGTATTGTAGTGGCGGGAACACTGTAGCGACGGAACAATGTTCACGTGGGTGAGGGTTTGGTTAAAAATTAATAAATCAAATCTGACGGTGCAAATTAATTTGTCTTTTGATCAAGGGTTTGGAGGCAGATTTCGACGATCTAGGAGTTAATTCCTAGATTTTGAAGTACTCTAAACATGATGGGAGGGTTTTATTTTTTTTAAAATTTTGTTCAGATTGGTCAGAAAGTACTGATAAGTTCAAATAATGGTAACGAGATAGATCTGATGGCAGATAGGTCAAAAGAGTATGCGACAAATGATACTGGTATAGAAAATCAAACGTGATTCTAGTAGTAGAGTTGTCAGCATATAATTATTCAGAGTCATTGTGGGAGCAGAAGTTGGTGGTGTGTAGACTCGAGGAGGACAGTGTCAGACTAGGTGGAGCTTGCAAGCAGGCACAATCGAGTGATACACATGGAGATGAAGATAGTGACATTGGACATGAAAATGAGGAGTACTCATATTCTGTCCAAGCCAAGTCATGGAGGAGATAGAGACATCCGGCTCGTAGTGTGGAGTAGGAGAGATGCACCAATATAGTTTGAGAAGAGCAATGCAGGTGGAGCACAAGGATAACAAGGGGGGAGGCTATTGTCAGGCTCAAGTTGGGAGGAGAAGCATGATTAATTTGCTTCTGATGTTAGAGGTGGTGAAGATATCTTAGTGCGCACAAGAGAGATGGAAGCGTCACGGCAAGGCAGGTGACATGGTGATGGTCATGGGCATCCAGTTGGAGTGCAGGTGTTCTGATTAGGAGTGCGGGTGCTTCGATTTGAAGTGTAAAAGAATAGAAGACGCTAGCGGGAGAGGCAAAGTTTCAAGACGGCGACGATATATCCCCAAGGGAGTTTGGGAATCAAATCCAATATGGAGATTGTTGGGATTATGTCTATGATTCTTTGTATAACTTTATGAGAATTAGATAGGATTAGATATCTGTCATAATTAGGAGATTGGGTCTCATCATGATTAGGAGTTTAAATCATATTCTTCTATCGTTGGATAAAATATTAAGGAGATGAGATATAGCCAATATTCTTGTAATTTAGGGCTAACAGAGGGCGTAGCCTGATTCAAGAATATTATGCGAGAGGCGAGAGTTTCGTAGTCTTTGTCTGTGCAAAAGTTTACAATATTGGGAGAGAATTTCGTAGTCTTTGTCCATTCAAAAGATTATAAGGAGTGGGTTTCAGAGAGAATATGAGAGTTGATTATGTATGTGAGGTTGAGAGATTGAGAGACGAGAGTTAAGTTATTCCTCTTGTAGTTATCTCTAATACATAGTGGATTTCTCGTATTGTTGTCCCGTTGATGTAGGTCAAAGTTGGTCAACCGAGCCACATAAATCTTGGTTTTCTTTCTTCTTGATTGTGGTTATTTTATATCTTGTTGATTGTGGGTTGGCTTCCGAGTTGCACAGATCATAATAGGCAGGGAGGCATAATTCCCAACAATAATGTTTATTAATTATTTAGATATTTTATAAATACTAAAATTCATAATAACTTTAATACTTAGAATCATCAAACTTTTCAAATATAACATCACAATTATCAACTATAAAAATATAGTATCACAAATTCTTAACAAAAGTTA